CTTCAGATGGGACCTCATTGATGGGCTGGTTGGCAGGACCGGGACACACCCACAGCGCCACCTGCAGGTACCGGGCGGAACCGCGGCGCACAATTCACTCCATCAAATGTCTCCCTTTTACTTTTCACATTTTACATCACGAGATTCACCCGCGGTGTATGTGGAACGCGGACACGTTGTCACCGCCAGAATGTCTGTGGGCGGGTGTCAGTCTGGAGGAGTGGGCGTGCCTAGGCAGGCTGGATTTGCACAGGTAACGCCCACCTGTGATGCTGAGCCTCCCATGATTGACAGAACGGAAATACAACTAATGAAAGGGGCGGGGCCAGTCAGGCTGGGGAGGAAAGCGTTAGATGATGCTGGACGTCCTCCAGCCAGGAAAGGAGGCGGGGTCTGTCTGACTGGCGGCGGCTTCTGATGGACATTGTGAGAAGTTTTTTTTCCGCCATCTAAAGAAACAAATAATAAAAAGTGAATATCGGGAGGAAGAAACGATCGCGGGTCACATGATGAAATGAGCGCGGCGCGAGCGACACATCTGGAGGCGGACCGACTGCCAGGAGATCACTGACCCGGGTCCAGAGACATGGGGGGGGGACAAGGGGGGGATCTCCAGGCTGAGGAATCCCCCCTCATGTCAGGAATGTAGTGACTCAGCCCCAGCTGTCTCTGTGCCAAGGAGCGAACCATTACACCACGTGGGGTGGGGAGGGGGACCCGGGGTCACTGAGGAGAGTTACAATGTATCATTGATCATTACTGGAGGGGGCGGGGCAGATTCTTATATAGAGAGAGAGATGGCTGTCATGCTGATCCTCCGTATTCACTGCTTTCCCAGCCACTAACCTGGAACTGGTGCTCATACCAGACGTGTGTCTGTACCAGGTCAGTGTCTCAAAGGTGCCGAAATCAGGGGATCAGCATGACACCTGAGCAACCGGGGGATCAGCATGACACCTGAGCAACCGGGGGATCAGCATGACACCCTGAGCAACCGGGGGATCAGCATGACAACCTGAGCAACCGGGGGATCAGCATGACAACCTGAGCAACCGGGGGATCAGCATGACAACCTGAGCAACCGGGGGATCAGCATGACAACCTGAGCAACCGGGGGATCAGCATGACAACCTGAGCAACCGGGGGATCAGCATGACAACCTGAGCAACCGGGGGATCAGCATGACAACCTGAGCAACCGGGGGATCAGCATGACACCTGAGCAACCGGGGGATCAGCATGACAACCTGAGCAACCGGGGGATCAGCATGACAACCTGAGCAACCGGGGGATCAGCATGACA